AGGAAAAAAAACGTTTTTAGTTTTTGAAAGTACAACACAACAAAGACATTTTTTGGTGAATGGCTTTACGTTCGAGTATACTTGGGTCGTATTAGTACCCACAAGCCCATGTAAAGTAAAACACACACACAAAAAGACACAAAAAAACGTTTTATCGGAATATTGTTGCACCGCCTCAATCTCCTGTGCTGCGGTGCTATAATAAGATGCTAGGGAAGCGCCACACCTGGAGTTTCTTAAGTTGACGGTGCTCATAGAGCCACTTAGCAAGCCACTCTCTGACTGGACTAGATAACTGGATAATAACGTCTTTTGTCTTTGTCCCAGTCGCGCTGTTTGTTGAACATGCACTCTCTGACTACCGACGCTCCATTCACGGATTTGCTTGTGGGCACTTTCATTTTTCTGTTGACTGCAGAGCGGACGCGCGAGTGGCGATATAGTTACGATTCGAATGTGGGACTCCCTGACCTTTAGGTACCGTGTGTCAGGCAGCTCAGGTGACATCGTTTTGCTCCGTTGCAGACTGTTCTAACATTTCTGAAGGACGAGAAAGTGTTCCCTTAGATCAAAGATAGAGCTCAGGATAACCCGCAACAATGATTTTAAGCCACAAGACGACTGAAGTGCCTCCGTTCCGAAGCGCCGCTTATGTAGTGGCTCTAAGCACAACTATACTTCATTTCACATTAAGTAAGTAATTGTGTCGTACGAAAGTTTAGACAGTTTGGAAGTTAGTAAGGCTCAATGGGCGCCTGGTGTCACTGCCGTACGTAACAAATTTAGCCAACGCAGTACGACTGCTGGCTTGGGGACTTTAACGTGCGTCACGCAGCAGTGATACATGGTACACAACCGCACCCCAATACGATGCTCGTCCAGACCGAAACGCTGCGTTTCAATCCACAGGAACCACACAGCGCGAGCTTTCGCTCCACATACTCTAAGCTTCTATGCGGAGAGCGTGTCGACTGCTCCTTGCGCAGGAGTAGCGGTGTGACGTCAGGACGACGCCGAGCTTTTATTGGCTGAGTGAAACCAATAGTCGGTAGACATCAAGGCATCTAGCATTAGGGGCTACCCACTATCCTTCCAATCAAAGCCAATCAGAGCTCGGCGTTGTTCTGACGTCACCGCAACCCATGAGAAAGAAACAGACAGCCTGCTCTCCGCATACAGTAAAACACTGGGCCTAGCAGCTACAAGACCTAGCATCTTTCAGCGCGGCATTTTCGCGCTTGTCGCATCGGTTCATTGTCACATCAAGTGCAAAGCGAAGGGACTGACTACATTACAACGAAAGGGAGGTCCCGTCAGATATCCCACCTCATGCAGGAGCTCGTTCACTTCGATAACACTTGGGCGTCTCGTGCGCCCCGAGAGTGCACGGGCAGCCAGAGCACGACGGAAGGCAACAAGCGCGTGATGGAGACCTGGCATCGTAACGAGACGCCCTGCCGCTCTCATCCTTTCAGAGACTATATAGTCAAAAATTAAAGCAGAGCCTCCTATATCCTGACAAAGCCTGGCAGATCGCCACGAAAAGCGGCCGCCGAAATGGAAAAGCTAGAGTGGGAGACGACGGATGAAAAGACAGCCACGTGACTGGCGCCCCGCTGCGGCGAGACGCCGAAACACGCTTCTCCCGAATGAACAAATGTGTTTCGAGTCCTCGCCCCTGCAAAATCTGTGCGCTGGCGTCCAGGTTCCCCGAGAAATGGCTCTTTGATGCTCTGTGCTACCAGATCCTCATGCTCCAAATATGCAACCGGGCACTCTATGGCTCTCCGTCGTCGAACTGCCAGGCTTTGTGAGTATAGAGGAGGCTAAGATTAAAGCTATAGTCGGTTACAGGTTAGAAAAGACAGTAAATGCACCACCTCCAGCACGCGTTCGGTGCCTACCGCTGGGGCTGCACGTGCAACTTATTGTTTGCAAAAGCAGAAAGCCCGCGCTCCACTCGATTCTTAGCCTGTCGCCGACTATAAAGTGGAATTCCTCTACTACATTTCTTTAATCGTTCGACCGTCTTCTTTGCGTGGTCCATTTCTCCGGAAAGAAGCGGAGTCGCTCACGTATACTGGATAAGGTGTAGACATTAGAAGTTACGATTTTACTCTGGCACTCGAGTCGTAGGACGGCCGATAGAAAGAAGCAACCGGTCATCGCTGAGCTGGGCGCTCTTCCTCGAAGCTGTTTCCCAATTTCGATCGAAACAAGCGAAACCGGGGATGCCTTCCATACCGCCCGAAGAGCGACTCGCAAGCGCGCCCGCGATAAGGGGCTGTTACAAAATCGGTATATCGCCCCACGTGTTGCCTCGCGTGATGAATTTATGCGGAACGAGTCCCGAAGGAAACGTGAAGGTATGCCGCGCGCACTAAAACGGAAGTGCAATCGAGGCGTATGCGCGCGACGGTTGATCATTAAAGCGTATAACATTCTTTCTTCGTCTTTTTTTTCTTTTGTGCGCTCCTGGTGTTTCAAACCTCGTTCACTGAGAAACCCCGCTGCTCGTCTGTTAATTGTGCGAAAATGTTTTTGAAGTAATTGACATACGCCGCGCAATTCATTACGAATGCTTGGACGTTCGATGGCCGATGCTTCTACGTGTATACGGTGTGAAGCACCGAGGGATTACTATTGACCAGGAGATCGAACCATTGGGTGCGATCTCCTGGCGGCTGCCAACAACCCTAACAACCCGCGCGTATGAATCTTTACGTCATCAAGCGAGATTGAGCACGTTGAGCAAACTGGACACGAGTGCTGAGCCCTACTTCAGCTGGCACTCGTGTTCAACACGTGCTTTACTGATTAAACACGAGCTCCAGCCGAGCGCGGCGACAGAAACAAACAAATAACTATAGTTGTTGTCCATCGGTTTAGTTCTCAACTTAGCCGCTAGGGGCTCGATGGTCGGATCTCCTCCCCAAATAGGCCCTTTTCAAAAGTCCAGCAAGCAACATTAATGGTTACCGTTCCTTGGCTAGGTGGCGCAAGCTACCACCCATTACAAAGGGAATAGCCCTTAACATCCATTCATCGATCCATCCTTGGGCACGAAGTGCGTGATTGGATCCGAGTCCTCGCCGAAAGCTGACGTCACATTCGTATCCAATACGTGCTCATAGCACGGGATCAAACGAGGGCGGACAGGCGATGGCGCGGCCTTTTGAAGAGTCTATACAATGTACTAATTTGAAGCGGCAAGCCACGCCAAGTCCGACCACGAGCCTATTGGAAATAATAGTGTATACTGCTCCGCTCTGTCTATCGAAATAGCGCATACTGGTACGCAGGTCCATCCGCGTGGTTTCTAGCTGGCTTTTGATTGGACATGGCGTCCCATCGCTTTGGCTGTCGGGCAGGGGTGACCAGGGGGACATTAGGTTAGAGCCGCAGACAAAACCATATAAGTTCAGAGAGCCTCGGGGAAAAAAAAAAGGGGGAGGGGGGTGCTACTTCTAACAAGCAAAAAACAATACGGAGGGAACAATCTTTTCCAAAAGGGACAAGTATTATTGTCGACTACAACAAATAACACCAGGCAGAAGAACGCTTCTTCACCCACTAAATTAAAATGAAATATGAATGCATGGTTCGCTAGCCAGCCACTGCCCCTGACACCCGTTATGCGTATACGGCTCAAAATTATTTCTAGAACAATATAGGAAACATGGTCACAGGACACATCTAAGTGTCAAAAAGCAGTCCACCTATATGCACCTAGCGTAGTACAAGGCTGCCAAGACTGTGTGTGTGTGTGTGTGTGTGTGTGTGTGCGTGCGTGTGCGTGTGTGTGTGCGTGTGTGTGTGTGTGTGTGTGTGTGTGTGTGTGTGTGTGTGTGTGTGTGTGTGTGTGTGTGTGTGTGTGTGTGTTTTAATTCTAGAAGTATTTTTCTTTTGCGGACACAGGAGGGGAAGGGGGCACGTTTGCCAGAAAGCCGCGAGCCGCATTTGGACCAGCGAAGAGCCGCAGTTTGGCCACCCCTACTGTAGACCATCGTAGGAAGAGGCGAAATAAAGCAGATAATGGGCGCTTTTGAGACAGCTGGAAAAATATCGATTGCTTCATACAGAAAAAAAAAAATTGTGCATTGCTTCACTTTTTGGTGAAGAGAATTAACCTCGAACCAACGAATTTCGAACTAGAGCTATATCTTAATAAAAACATGGCCCACATAATATAAGGTATTGTTTTATAGTTGAAGGTCCGATTGGATTACGACTTTCTAACAGAAAAAAAAAAATGACTATATGAAATTAATGTTGGGATTAGTAGTATTATTTGTGTATTTGGCCGTCCAGGAGACGTTTGAACCTCATGTATACAAACGGCTACATCCGATATGAGCCATCTCTCCGGTCTACAACTACCCTTGAAGAAAAAAAAGAAGGCTAATACAATCAGGCTTCGTTTTTTTACGTATTTATGTATGGAAGGTTAAACAAACGTAATATATGGAAAATTTCGTAAAATTATGAATGCAAGCATTTTGTTTTTTCTTCGCCCAAATCACATTTCTGAGAATATATTTACATTGAAGAGCCCCTACACCGCGTAGTGTGTATATTGTTTTCAGTAAGCCCTACAAGTTAAAACTGTTCTCTTCAATATTGGCAAAATACATAATTTTGAAAAGTTTACTAGAGCTCTAAAAAAAAAGGGGGGGGGGGGGGGGAGGGGGGAAGCATATTTTACAGCCGGTGAGTCAGCTCTTCCCACGTAAGTTGAAGTGCAGCTGCTCTAGTACTTTTGGTACTTCTGGCGGAACAAAACGTTAAGCCGTGAAAAACACGGAAACTGATTGACATAACGATGGCGAAAACAAGATAACTTCATGTTCTGATCCCTCTGAGCTGTGAAGAAATATGAAAGTGAAACGCCAACAAAATATGTCTTGAAAGAGCGAAGTCGACGCCAGCCGTAATTTGTCGATCCCCTAACATTCCCAGGTGTATCGAACGAAGCAAACAAATTAGAAAGAAAAACTCACCTCAAGGAAATCGTTGCCGTCGTCCGAAGAGCACGGACTCACTTGGCCGTCTTCCACAATCCCCGGCGGCAACCCCGCCGCACCGTGCAGACTCAGCAAGTCTTGCTCGGTCAGGTGATGGTGCGGATGGTGATGCCCATGCACCAGGACATCGGGCCTCCGGGGATACGCTGTCGGCTCGGTTCTACGCCCGTCTCCAGCACCGTAAGGAGGCAGATGCATGTTGGCCGCCTGGAGCAGGTCTTCCTCCGGTCTTCTGCCCAGCACCGAGCCACGCTGGTGGCCTCCGGGAGTGTGCAGCTGGTGGTACTGCTGGGGACCCGCTCCGGCGAGGCTGTTCAGGTGGTGGGTGGCGTACGGGTCGTGGTGGAAGTCCAGCTGCTGCTGTGTGGGCGGCAGGTTGTACGGGGGAGGGAAGTACGGTGGCTGGAAGTCGGCCGACGAGGGCGTGAGGCGCGGGGGAGGAGGGCCGGCGAACGAGGAGCTCCCGGAGCCGGGGCCTCCGGACACGAGGGAGCCCGCGGTGGGATTTGGGGAGCTCAGGCTCGTGATGGGGCCCAGGGCGGCCGCGGCTGCTGCTGCGGCGGCTGCGTGGCCGGTGACCAGGTCACGCCGGTCCTGCGACAAAGAGGGAAGCAGAGCATGAATATGGGTGTTGGTTCATCGATTGTTCTCCAGGGATTTGGAACGCACGTAGTCACAAAACAGAGTTAATGTAATAGATCACTGGCGACGCTACAATACACACAAAAAAAAGTAAGAAAATATTACTTCAAAGCACTGTACCTATCGTTCTTTCTAGCTTTCTTTCGTATTTACTAGGTGAAAACCACTGGTGCTCAAACAACTTCAAGTCGTCGCGGTCAAACGAACATGCCCAACATGTCGTCTGGTTTCTTTTTCCGCTCTTCTATCGCGGTTTTTTTTTTTAAATCTTTTATTCTTTCTTTATTTCCGGACCAGGACTACAGATGTCGGCGCTCAGTATTTCCCGTGTTCAGCTCCCTTTTTTTAACCCCCTGTGCCAGAAGGGCAAAAACAAATCAGGACAAAAAGAGGGCGTTGTTTCTTGTGATTTTTCACGTGCTAGATCTCCAAGAGAATGTTTAACCAACATGCTCTTTTGTTGGTTACGTGTCTCACTTCTTTTTTAATTTAACCGCGCTCAGAGTTGCCTCAACTCAACGTTAGTTTCACAGCAAAGTGCTAACGCATCCGGTTCCCCATGGCAGGCGCTAAAATCCCTGTTAAAGTGCTGACAATCCGGAGAAGATTGTGTCGTAGACATATTTCAGTCGACTTTCCAAATTCTCCGGTAGTCTAAAATAAATGTCTAATCCGTGTTAGGAAAGTATCAAACGTTGTCGTTAATTTCAAACGTAAACAGCAACAAAAAAAATATATATATATGTCACACTTAACAGACACTATACAGTATCGATGTGGGGCTCAATTATATAGTCAGTAAGAGCTTAAAGAATACAGGGCATGAATAATACTGTTAACGCTTCTCGCTTTTTGATCTGTTCTCTTAGCGTTTCTAATGGCTAATTCCTCGGTTGCGGAGCGATAGTATAGTATTGATATCCGATTGTTGAAAATATTTCTGACTAGAAAGATGAAGGATTGAAGGACATCTCTCTTATGTCAGTCATTTGTATAATTTTGATTCTAATATTATAAAATAACAAACCGTATGCGCAAAAGGTAGATAAAGGGAAGCTAAAGAGCTTTTCGAAAAACAAATGAAGAGGTAATGGTCGATTTTGACGTGTTTGTGCCGGCTGAGCTCAAATGACACAACCGCTTGAACCAACATAATCACTAAACGAAAAAAAAAAAAAAAAAATCGGAGAAAACGGAAGCGATTGCCGAGCAACGTATGACGCGCCACTACATCATAAAAAGACCATCTTCTGCTCTTGTACGTTTCAGCTTCCGTCCGGGCGCAGCCAAAGCTATGTCTGGCCGAAGCCAATCACACGCCGGCAGCAATAGGTCACGCGATTTCGCCTGCACTTTTGTATCACTCCGCTGCGCCGCCGGTCGTCCGCGCCGCCTGCGCTCGCCGAGTATTTCGTCTGCTACGGGTGTATCAACTGTATCGACTGCTACAAGTGTAAAAAAATGCCCTTTTGCGTTCTGAAATTTTGTCACAGGGGATATCAGTACGTAGCCTGGCCGCTGGCGTCTGTGTTCGAGCTTTCCACTTGTTCGGCATTCAGGCATAGTTTCGAGATGCAAGTACACATTGCAAGGTGCCCGATGACTCGGCCGTTGATGTTTCCTTGTATTGTCTGCATATACCTGGACTTGAGGAGCAGTCCTTCCCACTAGCTTCTCGGCGTTCAATGTGATCGGCAGGTAAAAGGGGGCCCTGATTTTGCCGCGTATCAGTGAATTGGAGTGGCCCGGGCGCTTTTCTTGTTAGCGCGAAACACATGTACGACGAAACCGTCCGATCCGACGTGCGGACTGCCGGAATGACCTTGGGGGGAGAGGGTTTTCGTAGCATCGGAGAGCGTTGAAAACCCTCGCCTCCGACCGTCGTATTGCGCGGTCGGACGTCGGATCGGACGGTTTCGTCGTACATGTGTTTCGCGCTTAACACGCATTCGCGGTACGACGCGGCCGGAGTCTCCTGCCAAATTTGAAAGTAGACAATCATCACGACCTCTCGCGCCTGGCGCCCAAACGTGCCTTTGCTAAAGGGCGTCTTGAAATGACTCGGTTGACTCGGTGAGGAAAGCAGCGAAGCACATGATTCGGTCGTTACGGTAATTACGGGAGCGAAATGACACAGAAAAACCGAGCGCTGTGGCGGCGTTGCCAGCGGATGAACGTGTTTTCACCAAACCATATGCATTTACATATATTAATAAAAACATAAACTTCAGATATTTAAATCCTTTAGTTGCAAATCATTCTCGGCAGTACACATCTGGAATATTGTGCAATGTTTACGCGCACAACAATTGTTAAAAAAAATATATATTGCGGACTACTTTTTGGTGCGTAGGAATGCTCTTCTCGAAGTTGCGAACCGTCCCTCAGCCTTTGGCTGCGCTCGGACGGAAGCTGAAATGAAGTATACTTCTAATTTTTCGAGATCTTTCGGTTTATCCTAAAGGGCCATTAGTCCAGAGGACCCTCGACGTGACAAAGTACGCTTTCCGGCCGTTGCCAAAGCCGAAAAATCACCCCCGCAGTAATACGGGCACACACGAGGAACCGCTTGCGCCGAAGGGTAACGGCGCGACATGGCCGGCTTCTTACGTGCAGGAACGTCCTGGCTTCTGCTTATCGTAACGTAAAACGTTGACAATAGGGAGTTTTCGTAGATCGTTTTCGCCGTCACCCAACGGCTCTCCGCAACCCGCTACTTTACCCGGAACTCTGCAGGCAAGGCTGTCGACGCGCAGGCGCAGTAGCAGCTTGTTCGTTGCGGAGTGCTTAGCGGAGGGGGAAACGCGGTCCACGAAGCCCCCTAATAAAGAGTTTTAGGGAACCTTGTTTGAACATCCGATACCTTACGATGGGCCCTCCGGTACGAACTGCGCATGTACGAGTCTTCTGCGCTAGCGCATGCGCAGTTCGTACCGAAGGGCCCATTGTAAAGTATGGGATGTGCAAAAGCGGTTCCCTAAAACTCTCTAAAAAATGGAGTACTGTTGACCGTTAGGCCGGATTAGCGTAACTTTCCCCAAAATGGTCGTCAGATGACAAGAATCCGACACGCATCGGCCTTCATGCTTAGAAGCAGCTGGCCGTGCAGGCGGAATGGACCTTTTTCCTGTAAGCTTCTGCGCATGCGTACACTCCCGCTGTCGCCATTTTTGCAGGACACCGGGACGCGGTGCCCTGCGAAAATGACGACCGCAACATTATCTTCGCGCGTATTTAGTCTATTTTGACGCTTTATTTTTAGTATCGGTAGTATGGGATATGAAAAGCACTGAAAACCGATACAATGGCACGATGCCGACGTGTTTTGACGGGCGGAGGCATGTTGGGCTGCTCTTCTATTATAGTTCGCAGACAACTCCCCAGACGGCGCTCGTTACTCGAAAAAGGTCCATTGTTCCCCAAGGATGAACTGGCTTCCTTTGAAAGGAGACGGGGGATGAGACAGGGTCGCCGTTCTGCCACCGCGATGTCCTTGCGTGTTTAAACTTAAAAGTCGAATAACTGCACTGAAGGTTCATCAATATCACATTGATAAACCTTCAGTGCAGTGATTTAACTTTTAAATTGAATAACTGCACCCTCTGCTGCGTTTTATTTGTTTGCCACCAATTATCCCGCAATTGTAGCTTTAGACGGATGTGTTCCCGGTAGACCGCAATTTTATGCCGAACACTTGAGGGGTTCCTGGGCCTCTAGATTCACATGCCTATCTCAAGATCTGTTGACTGAATTAGACCACCACCGAGCACTATCATCTGTTAGATCTCATTTCTACGGCACAAAGAATCATTCTATGGAACACAAGATTTTTCCGATGCTAGTACGTTCGCAAAAAATTACGGGAAATGGGCAATTTCAAAGTGTTAAAACAAAACTTGTACGACTCTGGACGAACCTAATATATATATTAAAAAAAACTCCGTAACTTTTAAATAAATTTAAAAAAAACATCAATTCACTATTGAATGTTACGCGTTTTTTTTTTTTTTTGCATAATGCGCTTTTGAAGATAATGTGAAAGGAAAATATAACAAAATAAATGTTTAGGCGTAAAAATATGTGCCCCCAAAAAATATCCGCCACTGCAAAAAAAAAAAAAAAAAGGATGCTAAAACAAGTTGCACTGTGAAAGTAGCATGAGTAATTGCATGACCGGATAATACCAACATGCGCCCTACACTCCTCAGTAACTGGTAGTGGAGGGGATTAAAAACAAATACAATCTCGGGTAGCGGAGTCGGTACGGGAAATAGGGTCCACTTCAACCATATAAAAATAAACCAAAAGAAAACCACTAATATCAAGCGATTAACGCAAAAGAGCCAGTGAAAGCCTGCTATTCGGCTACATATGATCGCTGTTTTTCCAGTACACTGCGCACAATTAATAACGTAATTGCGTTTTTTCTAGAAGAGTCACCCTGTGATTCCAACCTAGCTTCGTATCCTCTTTGCGCGTGCCTTCGAATGCAATGAATTGCCTCCCTCGCCATCTGTGCTTCGAATGCCGAATGACAATGGAGTTCAAATAAAAACTTGGGACGCTGAATTCGAAGTTCGAACCACGGATATGGCGTTGATTCGTGCTTGCAGACTGTATTTCGTATGGTGTGCATGCAGTGTGACTCCGGCAATACGTACATTGTTTTCATATGCGTCGTACGGAACATGTTCCGAACAAAAAACAGAGTACTCTTCAGGTACAAACTCGTCTGTTTTCTTAGCAGGGAACCCATCCCTTTGAAATCTCGGCGTCGGAATGCAAAGGGCGGTAAGCAGGAGGAGCAAGTGGGACGAGCGGTGTTCGTGCGAGCCGACGAACCTAACGAATATGATATCCGTGATAGCTGGGCTTTATTCTCCGTTTCACCGTACGTCCGAGCGCAGCGGATGCTACGAGCCATCGGGGCCAATCCAAGGCCGTGTGAGTGT